AAAATGTCAGCAAGAGGAGGTACGGCGAGGAGACGAGCGCGGAGAGGAAGAGAGACGAGGCAGACATGAGAGCCGCCGTCACAGCCACCTTCCTGTAGGAGAACCTTGTGCTAAGAGGTCCTGCCCAAGGCCCTGTCACGTCCCATGGGAGTAGATCGTCGCGAGGTTAAAAAGCACGTCAAAGTACTAATGGCATTATCTGTATACATTAACTATGATGGCTTTCTTTACAATGTTTATTAATTTATTCTGACATGTAGAAACAAAAACAAGTATATGGCGACAGCAGTGTACATGATGATAAATATGGCATGACTTTGAGAAGGGATTTTTTTAATCACATATATTTTTTTCTTTTACAAAAGCAAAATTACGAGGAAGATGGCGCCACATTCGACCCGCCCGACTGACCTGCAAGATTCCACACCATGGACTGGCAGTTGAAGAGCCAGGCCGCGAGAGAAGGGGGGGCGTTCATTTCGCGGAGTTTGTTTCCGAAAAGGATGCCGAAACAGGGGCCTTGGGTGGAGAGAATCATCTGGAAATTGATGAGATTGGTCTCAGAATTAAACTTTCAGGCTATATGTATAATCCCCGACGTATGGATTGGGTGCTTTGTGTCGTTATTAATGTGCATTTTTTTTTCTTGACGCTCTAGCCTTGAACCCTATGACGTGGTTATTGCATACAAGTCCTTAATGTTGATAAACCTCTTCATCCTACGTGAAAAAAAAAACTGATCGTATGTAGTTGGCTTAGTTTATGCACGTTATTTATACGTTTTACTGTGATATTGTGCTTTTATTAATCCATCCACTTTGTTCATTTCACATTTATTTGCATATCCATTAAGAGACATGCAACTAACCACCAGCTCCCCTCCCGTACTTTACAGTCATGTAACACGTAGTTGAGTGGTACAGTTGCGAAAGTTTCTGTTCCTCCTCTGGCAGACTAACCCCCGTATAGCAACGCTTTAGTAGTAGTAGTAGTAATAGTAGGAGGAGGAGTACTAAACTATGGAAATGTTTATGAATGAATGTCGCGTCACTTATGTGATAGGTGGAGTTACAAAGTTGGACGACTTAAAAACACAGATTTAAAAACATATGAAAGAAAGAGCATGGTGTAAACATTATTCACGGGTTATGTCTAAGATGAATACAATAACGAATAAATGATGTATTGACTCCATGCAGCGACCTTTAATACCGCTGCAAATAAAGATATGCTTTTATAATATATATGTATTTTTTTTTTACTTGGTTTATATTCGTTTTGTTTGTTCTTGTTTCTTCTTTGAATAGTCGTTACTTTCATATTTCTTTGTCAAGTTAAATAATCATAGAGAGCGTTATCGTATGCCAATAAGGTTTGCTCATGTCTGTAAAGGTGGCTTCTATAGCACTATATTGAACATACCACGACCTTCATCTACGGACGTTAAAAGCAGATTTGGTTTTCCTTCTTAATACGGTTATCGCAAGTCAGGGCATCGCTTGTTTGCTCTCGCGGTACAAGCTATTCACGGTACATCATCGAAATAAGGTTTCAGAAAAAAAAATCATTTAACGTTCCCCTTCTGTATTTAAAGATACTCGAAGGTAGGTCGGAAGACATTATCTATGTTGTAATGTGAGGTATGTACTGCCAAGGACATTGTTTCACTGGTTTAGTCATGTCAGATGACTAAAACATTTTATAGAAAAGGATCGCATTTAGAATAACCATCAACACGTGCATTTTGAGATTTGTTATTCATTCTTCTATTAATTAAAATGTAAAGTCCTAGGAATGAAATTAAGGGAACAGGAGAAGGAGAGGCTTCAGTCGGAAATATGTAACATCTAAATCAGGAGTTCCCAAGCTGGTGACCATGACAATAATCGTGTAACGGCAATAACATTAACAACGATTTTGAGAGAAAAAGGAACAAGGAACAAAAAATAAATATAATAGCTCACACAAGTTACGTTTATACTTTCTTATTCCTACACAGAAATACACACAAGCGTCAATGGGTCCTTTCTAGGGGGCTATGGAGTAATAAGAAAAACGACGCCGAATTTAAACAATTTTATCTCACCTACAGTACCTACTTATAATTATCTCTCGTATCAATAAGATTGATTCTTTCCATGTTTTCGTTCTATAGCTATTTACACCATGACACTATTCATAACTAGTAACACCAGAATCTGAAAAGATGACAGACACTTACCGGGGCCACGCGGATTATCATATATTGGTCGGGGCCATAAATGAAAAAGGTTGGGAAATGCTGACCTAAATGTCTTTGAAAATTAGAATGGCAATGTTTCATCTAGAATTCAACGAAGTAATCATTCAGGTTATATGATATACAAATTAAAACACTCATTCTTACCCTGTCAACATTTATTGATATCACATCTCTTCTCGCCACTAGAAGAAACAGAGAGAGAGACAGAGAGAGAGAGATTCCACTATCAATATTACCATAATCATTGTGACTATTTCC